TCAGTCCCCTGCATCTGTAACACACAAGCGGCTGCGTGCGTGCGCAATCAGAACACAAAACCCAGGCAACTGGAAGCGTCCGCAGACTCCTCCCTTCTGCAACACACATGTGTGCGCGCAGTCGCTGACCACGGCCTTGTGGGTCTCTGCTTGCGCCGCCAACATGTGTTCGCGTGCACGCGTGTGTATGTGTGATTGCACGCGAAGAGACGACATGCAGCCAGGTCACAACAGCACCCCCTTCCGCAACACACACACACACACACACATCTGCAAGCCTCTGCAGCACTCATCTGTGTGAAGTCACAAACAACGCACCATGCAGAAGCAGCAGGTGCAACCAGGCAACCATTGCCAAACACAACAAACCGGAACCATGGCCCTGGACTTCGTGCTTCTGAAACACACACGCGTGTGTGCATGTGCACGCGACATCACTGCCCACGGGCTCTCTGCTTCTGCCACATGCGATCACAACAACGTCACACACGCGTCTGTGTAACTTGCGCAACTACACACCGCTTGCTGAGCCCACAACTGCAGCGGTGACCACGGATTGCTTGACCCTGAAACACACCTCCGTGCGACAACAAACGTACCAACATCACAAAAGCACCACTTGCGACATCGTCGGCCTCAGCCCCTTGCTCTGCAACTCACGGGCGGCTGCGCGCAAGCGCAAGCGGAACCCAATCCAGGCAACTGGAGGCGTGACCACGGATTCCGTCCTTCTGCAACACACGCGCGCATGTGCGCAGTCACTGACCATGTGGCCTGGGTTCTCTGCTTACGCCGCAAACATGTGCGCTCGTGCGGACGTGTATGTGTGTTTGCGTGCGGAGAAACAGCACGCGGCCAGGTCACAACAGCGGCCCCTTCCGCAATATGCATGTCTAGCAACACACATCTGTGTGCAGTCACACACACTCGAACATCACATCAAAAGCAGCATGCGCAATCAACCAACTGGAAGCGGGTTCCTGTGGCTTCTGCAACACACACATGTGTGTGTAGGCAAACGCTGACCCCGGGATCTCTGAGCAGGCCACGTGCATGTGTGTGAGGTGACATGCGCCCAAGTCCATGTCCCAGCAGCACATTTTTTCGATTCGCAACCTCTGTGCGTCGTGAGACACCACTGACAAACACCACAAGCCGGAACCGTGACCCCGGACCTCGTGCTTCTCAAACACACATGTGTGTGCGTGTGCGCGCGACATAACTGATCATGGGCTCTCTGCTTCTGCCACACCCGATCACAACAGCGCCACACACGCGTCTGTGTAACTTGTGCAACTACACACCGCTTATACTGAGCCCACAAACCGTAGCCGTGACCACGGATTCCTTGACCCTGAAACACACTTCTGCGCGACAACGAAACATCACAAAAGCACCGCTTGCGACATCGCGGCCTCAGCCCTTTGCTTCTGCAAGCGCACGGGCGGCTGCGCGCATGCGCCACCAGAACAAAATCCAGACAACTGAAAGCGTGGCAGCGTGACCACGGACTGCCATGTGCGGGCGCACAGTCACTGACCATGGCCCGAGTTCTCTGCCTATGCCGCAAGCATAGGTGTATGTGTGATTGTATGTGTGTTTGCGCGAAGCAACGACATGCAGCCAAGTAACAACAGCACCCCGTTTCCACAATACGCATGTCTGCACGCGTCTGCAACACACATGTGCGCGAAGCCAAACCCCCATCCTCATCGAGGACCCCAGGATCTGGCCCTGGCCGTCACGGTTTCCCTTTGTCTCCCGCGTAATCTCCATCACGGTCGTCTGAGGGCGGTCCATCTCCTCCACCTTCACCGCTTTCTCTTGGAGGATAAGGGCACGCCCCTATGTTGGTGGGGGAATCTGAAGATGGATACTGTCTTCACCGCCACAGGATGTGCTCCATCATCGCCGCCTTCATCGTTCCCGGCTGCAGAGTGTCGTTACGCAACCTTTCCGTTTCCTCTGCTTCGCTGATGCCAGACGCAGCTTGACGATCTGGTCGACCTGCTCCTGAGCAACGATAGAAGTTGACGATGCATTGCTGCCGTTGCGCTGATGGGCTTCGCTTTCTGCATTCGCAACTGGCACCGCAGGTTGTGCACTTTGGTTCATCACGCCAATTGCTTGACTCATTCCGTGAAACCGTGTTTTATCTGTAACTCCTTGAGTTGTTCATCACGAACTTGCGCTGATCCTGAGTCCTGATCAGCTACATGAGCATGATGAGTAGCCCCGCCCGCAGATGACGAAGAACTTGACTGATGAAGAGGTACTGGCCGAATAGGAACCGATTCAATCTGATGCGCTTGATCACCGAAGCTCAGGTCGTGACCTTCGAACCTTGCATGGATTCGAAAGGAAACCTCTCGACCATCCTTTGATGCTCTGACGGCTTCTTCGGTCTCTGGCATAAGCAGAATCGGCTCCGGGTAACTGACTCAGATACGTCGGTGGAGCTGCCATCAACGTTGGTGCACCATCCTGAACTTCATTGACTATATCCTACCCTTAGATAGTATGAAGTGATCACCAGCACTTGCTAGAAACTCATTTGCCCTGCCATGACTCACACATTCCCAGCCAAACTCAGAAGTTCTCGTAGACACGGGCCGAGACTGTGGCCAGCCACTGGAGGCAGTCAGTTGCGCAGTCTTGTACTCGGTCAACGTCTTGTGTCGCGCTTCTTCTTGATGTTTCAGTAACTGATCTCAAGCTTCTCCACTTGTTCGCGACGAGTGATGTTTGCCATCACCGTCTCTGCGTTCTCGAACCATGGGCAAGAGTTTCCTTGGCCTGCTCATACAGCTCGTTGGTCAGTCGCTGGTATTCTCGGGCCATTTGAGCTTCACCTCCTTCACTTCTTTGTTCCACATTGACTAGCTTCACTCCGCAGGAGATGAACCTGATGTGCTCGGCTTCTTGACGATCTTGAGCATGTCGAGCAAAACTGATTTCCCCGTTCCTCACAAAGGCAATCTCGTATTCACGCTTCATCGTTTGATGGACATTCTTGATGTGACTCATTGCACTTTGCGCTGCGTTCCGCTGTCTCTCCAGTTCTTCGACGTGTAACACGGAACCGCGGTCTTCTTGCCCCATCTCGTGTATCTCGGATAGTAGTCCGCGCACCACGTGCTCGTATTGTCCGATCCGTTCAGCATGGACCTGGTGAGCTTCAGCTCGAGCGAAGGCCAGTTGTCTTTTCACTGCTTCTCGAATTTGGTCCCCAGTGAACCTTGCATCCTCGATAGCCGGGACATGTATAGATGACGGTCCAGCTACGACATTCGAGGCAACAAGCATTCCCGCAGGATGCGAGGAAGCCTGACTTGGTGCTTCCGCAGGATGCGACGAACCCCGTCCCGCTTGCCGAGCCACTGTCCGTTCCACATCTTCGCGGAACTGAAACTTCACGGTCCGATCTCTTGAACTTGACGACAACTTTGTGTTCGTTTGGCAGACTTGGAAGCCCTCCGTTCGGGATTGCTTGACGTCGATTGAGAGTTCGAAGACGTAGGTCTTCATGTTTTAGCGGATCTCGCCCAAGATTGTGGTTTTCTTGTAGATGCTGGTAGTTTCGGCACGGCACGGTTGGCAACTGCAGCACACTGCAGATCGTTGGTCATCTTTAATTGCCTCCAGTTGATTCTCCAACTGCCAGTGATGCCAGTACATCACCACCAAATGTCATGGTCGCCTACGGTTGATAAACTGCCGGGAGCTTTGATATCCATGCAGACTCTGTCCAGGTACTGTCAATGTAAGGTTCAACAGGAAGTTGACGTATGGCTCCACCGAAGATGAACAAGCTACTTTGGCTACTACGGTTCTTTCACTCGAGCCATTTTTTGAGCCACAACCATTGCGTTTACTGGATCTTGCAAAGAGGGCTTCGCTATGACCCGAGTATCGGAGTAATTGTGGTGGTAAATAAAATAAAATGCCAGCTGTACGTGGGAGGGGCTCGCCAACACCCCTACAGCCCAGACCTCGGTGTAGAAGTTGTGTGTGGAATCTGCGCGCGTGTGCGCACTAAGGTGGAGATATTGTTCGGGGTGTCCGCGAAACAGTGCGGTGATCATCTCCAACAAAAGCTTCCCCCCAATTAACTTCGAGCTTTCGCCAAAAGCCCTCCGAAATCCCAAGGTCGAGTTCGCGAAGTCCAGAAGTAGGCTTGGAATTATGCAAGATGGTCCGGCATCACATATGTACTGTAAATACCGAGTAAGACCGCTCTTCTGGAGATATTGTTCGCGGTGTCTGCGTAACAATGTCGTCATCAACCCCGCCCCTCCCCCACCCCTCGCAAAAAGCAAGTCAAAATCCAAAGCTGGAGTTTGCAAGTTTGCAGCTCGACAAGTCGATTTTGAGGCTCCATAGGAAGATCCTGCAAATACCGAGTAGAATGGATGTTGCCTTAACATGGTTATGAGCAAGTGTAATTGATAGGGGAGGGTGCCTGCTGCTGCTGCTACTACTACTACTACTACTACGACGACGACGACTGCTACTACGACTACGGTCTACGGCGACTACGACGATGCCCAGTCGACTGGCCCTACCACTACAGCTACCACCACCACCAGCAGCAGCACTGGCAGTAGCACTTCTCGCAGCAGCCACATGAGCACTTGTTCCACCACCACCACCACCACCACCACCACCTCCGCTACCACCAGCTATCACTATCACTGTACCACTAAGGAAATAGCAATAGTAATCATAGTTGTTACATATGAAACAGAATGACAACAGTCCTCCCCGAGCTCCCACTTCTCTCGGCAAGACACGGCAGGTCGTCGTCCAGGAAGTTCTTGGTCAGGTTCCTTGGAGCGAGCGGCTCTGGAGCTGTGTCTGGCAACTGGCAAGCCTGTCGTGTGAAGGCCCGGTGCGACCGCTGTCTCGGGCTGTGGGGTCTGGAAGCTGAGCAGCAGGCGAGAACTTCTTCTCCTTGGGCCCATAGTAGGTGTAGACCTGGGAGGTGAGAGGTGCCCCCGTCACCTTTTCGAATCCTTTCGACTTCTGGCGCAGGGCCCTTCCAGTGCTCTCGCTCTAGTTTGCAGAGACTGCCCGGGCTTGGCTCGAAGACCGGTGGCCGACTGGCCGATCGGCTCGGCCTTCTGGAGCCGAGTTGCAGATCCCGTGCCACCAACCGCACTGATGCCGCCTGCGGGGTGCACGCTTCATGTCCGTGAGACTTTCGTGTCAGATCCCGTCCTGGATTCACCTCATACCCAAATTCCGCGGCACCCCCATTCCGGCTGCGGGGTGCAACCACTTGTGCATGGCGCCCAGGTTTCATGAAGAGTCTGCCCTCTGGAGTCTCTTGGACTCTGAGCTTCCAAGGCCACACACGGCCGCCTCCCTCTGCGTCCGGCTGCCCTGCCTTCCTTGGGCTTCTTGTGGATGATCCCCACGAGCGCGTCGCTCACCTGAGCGGGAGGCGGGGCCCGCGGGGCCCGGCCCTTCTCTGGGAGAGAGAGCGCTGAAGCGAGGCTTAAGCGAGGCTTTTTTTAGGCTTCGAGGCTTCGCGGAGAGCCGTAGAGCCGGGGCGACCGAGTGGCCATGTTGTAGCGGAGCTCTCCTTCCACGATGCGTGGGCAGAAGCCTCGGCAAGCAAAAGCGCTGTGCCGCCTAAGCGCCGCCGCGAGAGTGTGCTTAGGCTGTGTCGTTGAGCCCGAACGAGGGGGGGGGGGGCATGTTGGAAGCTAAGCGGCGCTGGTCCACAAGCTGGCCGCCAGCCTCCTTGCCGCCCTCCAAATACCTGGAGGGCCCACCAGGACTTCGGGCCTAGAGTTGGTTAGACCTATGCCATGGGCGCAGCGAAAGGAAATGCCAGAGAGGATGCTCGGAGATTGTTTTCCTACCCTTCAGCCGCCCCCCCCCCCACATCACATCACATCGACCCAAAGCCCGAAAGGTGCCGCCCGGGCACTTTCCGACGCCCTTGGAGGTCCAAGTGCCGCTCTTGCTGGTGCGGCCACTGACGCAGAACTCGATGAACTCAGCAACAGTGTGCCTCGGCGGTCAAGGTCAACTGCTGAGCCTGTTCGATTTCCAGCACCACCTTACAAACCGAAACAGCCGCCAAAGAGCTTGAACACTTTTTCAGATGTTCTTTGCTTTGCCATTGCTCTGGGGCATGAGCCGCAGATGCTCCCTCTCTTTCTTTCCCAAGGTTAGAAGGCAAACACAGCGCTCTTCTTCTCTCTCTCTCTCTCTCTCTTCTTCTCTCACGCTTTCTTTCGCCAGGGCTATGGGCAAGAGGCTCTCTCTCTCTCTCTCTCTCTCTCTCTCTATTCCCTGCTTTTTGACGAGAAGGGCAGGTCAAAACCCCTACCCTTGCACGCGAACTGTAGGTCTCAGCAGGATCTCACAACTCCCCCTATCTTGTGTTTTCTCCCTCCTCCGTGCATTTGTCTCGCCGCTGCTCTTCTCCTGCTCGCGGCGAATGCTCCGCGGAAAAAACTCAGGCTTACGAGACTCTCTGGCTGCCCGGGCACTCCTCCGAGTGGTTGTCGTTGGCCTGCATGGACGGCTCAAGCTTAGAGCACCGAGTTCAGACAAGCGATATGTGACAGGGTGCTGGGATCTTGCAAGCTGCTGTCTCATTGTCATGAATCCCTTGACAATCGCTGACGATGCTGCGAAGTGAGGTTGCGTGCTGTGGTTCACTTCAGTGCATTGCAAATATGCTTGTGCGTTCGGATGTGGACTCACTAGCGCTAGCGCTGCATCACATCGCATCACTTCATGTTGCGTTGTACGTTTACTGCCACTACGGCAGCTGCAAGCCGTGATGCTTACTGAGCTTCCTGTCCTGCACACACGATTTGTCGGCAGGCGGAGTTTATCGCCGCGTGCACCCATCCTTGAGCGTGTTACGGGTGCTTCCGTCTAAGCCGGAATCTAACCGCTGCGAGGCGTCGTCCGACTCCGTGGCGAAGGGGCCTCCATGAGATCCAAGACCTCGTCATCTGCGCAGGAGCGCTCGCCGTACGTCTTGCCTCGGTCGCGTTCATATCTTGGGGTGGGAAGGAAACTGAGGGTCACGAAAGCCACATGGGCAGGCCACAAGACGAGGTGCAGTAGTTGCCAGATTTCAGCTTGATGATCCAGATGCCCTCTCCGGAGGACCCGCGATTCCTGGACAGCTGGTGCTCTGTGGAGGGCTGACAGAAGATCGCTATAGGTCGTACCATAACACCTCAAGCGGACCCCTGCATCGCAGAACCTCCCAACCCCAGCCCGGCGATGTCTCACTCCCCCAACAAAGATTTTTCTCCACGAGAGATCCGAGGCTCTGCTTGATGACGCGCGGCTGGAAAGCCATGGTCTTCTTGAAACCTGAGCCGTCTCCGAGCTCTCGCTTCCAGGGGAAGTGCACGCGACCGGCTGGGCGAGTTGGTGGGCCTTTGCTTCTATCGGGTTCTGGGGAGCTCTTACTAGTAGCCGTGGCAGGTGATGCCCCGCACGATCCCTGCAGGGCAGGGCTCCCCCCCCCCGCATTCGGCCTGTAGCGAAGTCCGCGGGGTCGTAGTAGGCAAGGGTGTCCTGTCAGGCGCTTCCAAACTTAGCCGCTTGAAAACAGTGGAAGAAGAGCATGCGAAAGAGGAGCCCTCCGAAAAGGCGGGCCAAGACTCGGCTTGACAAAAAACTGCAGGGTCCCGTCCTCAAGCCCGATCTTCAGATTCGCAATCTTGCAGAGCGCATCCTGCGCAGGGACTGGAAAGCCTCGGGCCCAACAGTCCAACCCGTCCTTCGCGCCCATGAACTCCATGACATCCGGGGCTGGCCAGACCTGCATCGAGGCCGCGAAGGGCTCCAGCGCTGTGCGGAGCGCAGCCGCAATCTCAGCCAACCCCCTGATCATGATTATATCTGCTCTAAGGCTCTAAGGTCCGAGAAGACTGAAATTCTGTCGTGCAAAGCCCTGGGCCCTAGCCCTTCACCTGCACCCAATCGAGTGGGGTCGGGGGTTTCGGCTGGGGTTTCGGGCATCTACAAGACCTGGGTCTGAGTGAACTGCTCCTGACTCAAACCGCCGATGTCGATTCAAACCAGGGCGCATGAATTCCCCGATGAATGGCGAGCTTGCAGCTCAGCTTCATCCGTACTTTCCCCGAGTCCTGCCTCATCCTACAAGTAACTTCCTTCAACACCTCGACTCCCGACAGGACTCGGACTTTACGGACGAAACCGGGCCCCGTCACCTGGATGTCCAGCTTGCGCAACGCACGCATGCCGTTGTCGAATTTGCCCTGGTCTCCTGACACCACAAAGCCACCAAGCCAATGCAGGTGTTGAGCGTTAACGGCTTGCCTCCCCTCACACCTACAGTGGCAAGAGGCCTGATGTGCCGTATACTGCAAGCCCCCGACGCACCCTTCGACAACCCCTCCCCTTGTCCCGCTTCGCACCTCCATCGGCCTTGATCTGACCAGGGTTGCACCGCACGATGATTGCATCGAAGGCCTTGCACACGTCGAAGAAGGTGTCGTGCTCCTGGTGCATTTACTGACTCCAGGAGCGTTACATCCGGTCTAATGGGCCTGTCAGCATATCAATGCTCAGCACTGTAAGCATGTTCCACCGAGAAAAACTTGCTTGATTGTCATGGAGAGCTCCTCGTGGACGTAATGGATTAGCTGGCAGCTCATGCCAGCACTGATCATGCCATTGGCAAAAGGGATGCTGTCATAACCTCAGAGTACTGGGAAGCCAAGCTCAAACAACACGAAGCGGTACCGTCAAAGCCGAGAACTAAGCTTGGAGTTCACATGACGCACCTTTGATTGAGTTTGGGTCACAGACAAGGAGTTTCCCCCGCCGATTCCCGCTAAAGGTGGGAAGGAGCCAGAACCGACGTCACTCTGACCTTGCTCCTCTGAGAGTGCTCGGGCAAGCTGCAAGGTTTCCTGAAAGCTTACTCCTTGAGCCCATGTTCTGCACGGGTCTAGGTCCGCGGCGGTGGCCATTGGAGCTCTTGTCGCTGCCTGCCAGGGGCCCAGGGGCACATGATGGCACATGCAACCATCTGGTGATTTCCACCCGCACGCAAGTTCAGAGACAGAGATCTTGAATTCCATGCATGACGCTGTCCGCTTCACAGCGGTCAGGATTCTCAAGATTCCTATGTTCTGGCGAGCGGTCAAACAGTCGGAGCTGAATTGGGAGCGATCACCTCATGCTACTATGGGGCAGCTCTGGCTGCCTCCGAACGGCTGAGAGCGGACGTAGATGCCAACGAGAGCTGTCCTGAACCTGGCCGTAACGCGGATGTTACTAGTATCACGAGACTCCCTGCTAGCAGCTACAAATGAAGCATCCGGCACACCACGGGAGAGGCACAAACCTTTGAAAGCTTTGGACCGGAAGCGCGGCCCCTTCTGCCTGGGTTTCAGCGGCTGCGGCAGCATGCCGAGGTCGTCCTTGGACCTCGCAGCGTCCGGTCCGGTCCGGGCATGAAGGGAGATGAAGGGAGCTTCTGCAGGTTGGCCGACGTTTCTTGGGGGAGCCGAGACAACAGAGATCTGAGCTAAAAAGCTGCGATTTTCTGGGACGGTCCTCATGCTTCGGGTGTTCGCGAAGGGGGAAAGCTCCGGAGGGCAGAGAGTCCGTGAAGGAAGCTTAGGCTGGGTGTCGCACACCTTGGTCAGCGCCGACACATTGATGGGTTTGCCCTCGGCATCCGCCAAAAGGGACGTCCCGATCCAAGGAAGATTCCAGGGAGCGCAACAAACAGATAAACAATCTGTGGAGCTGAACTCAGCACTCAAGCAGGAAATGCAGGCATGCGTGGCTTAAAGCTCTAAAATAAGACAACTCCTGAAGCGAACTGCCAGCGCCGACCCTCAGGCGCGGGCGGAGCGGAACTGCCTCGGCATCTCGAGCACTCACACTCCGTCACTGCAAGGGAAAGGCGTCATAACGAGCCTGTCCTCTTCTGTACTTCCAGAAACATGAATATACGTCTAGACGTCTACATCCCTCCTTAGTCTTGGCGATCTTGCCGGACGCCACGCGCTTCTTCGTTCTGAGCGCTCCGGCCCGGCAGTGGCCGGCTTGCCCAGCGTGGGCTTCGCCGGGGGCTCGGCCTCTTGGCAGAAGAAGACACGAAAATTAGAGAGCAGAGCAAGTAGTGGAAGTAGCGGCAGCGGCCGTCAAGAGAGCTTTCACACGAGCACACCGCCAGCGCTGGACTTCCTCCGGCCTTGGCTTTCGCCTTGGCCTTTGCCGTGGCTTTCGCCTTCGCTTTCGGCTCGGGCGCAGCCTTTCCCTTCCGAGACATGCCCAAACACTCTCCCTGCGGCAACGAAGCCTGCAGGACCTAAGTCCCGAAAAAACGTCGTGTGTTCGGCCCCTGTGAAGTCTGCACATGTCTGCACTCTACATCGGATCTTCCGCAGCGTCAGTCTTGAACGCGGCAGCAAAGGTGGCGCGAGTCAAAGAAACTCTCCCCACATCTCCCCACAGTCCCGACCGCCGGTTGGCGCTCGGCTCGGCCTTGGACTTGGCTGTCGCCTTCGCCTTTGCCTTCGCCTTGGGCTCTGGCTCCTGCAAAAAGCAAAAAGAGCGGAGCCCTCGAAGCAGGCGAGCTTCGCTCCTTTGCGGCCTTTCCCTTCTTCTTTACCTCTGGCAATGACAGGCTCAGGGTTTCAGGTGTAACATGACACATGTCTTGCGTGGTTCGGACAGACTCACGTGCGACACAACAGCCGGGACTGAAGAGGAAAAGGACTGAAGGCAAGGATGGAAGGACGTGAAGGATGGAAGGTCACTGAATCAACACCTTGCCCAGACACCAGCAGGCTCCGGGGTTTCGTGCGACACAATGCCCAAAGGTGAGGCGAACGATGGAAGAAGGTCACTGAATTAACACCTTGCCCAGACACCAGCAGGCTCCGGGGTTTCGTGCGACACAATGGCCAAAGGTGAGGCGAACGATGGAAGGTCACTGAATCAACACCTTGCCCAGACACCAGCAGGCTCCGGGGTTTCGTGCGACACAATGGCCAAACTGAATCAACACCTTGCCCAGACACCAGCAGGCTCCGGGGTTTCGTGCGACACAATGGCCAAAGGTGAGGCGAACGATGGAAGGTCACTGAATCAACACCTTGCCCAGACACCAGCAGGCTCCGGGGTTTCGTGCGACACAATGGCCAAAGGTGAGGCGAACGATGGAAGGTCACTGAATCAACACCTTGCCCAGACACCAGCAGGCTCCGGGGTTTCGTGCGACACAATGGCCAAAGGTGAGACGAACGATGGAAGGTCACTGAATCAACACCTTGCCCAGACACCAGCAGGCTCCGGGGTTTCGTGCGACACAATGGCCAAAGGTGAGGCGAACGATGGAAGGTCACTGAATCAACACCTTGCCCAGACACCAGCAGGCTCCGGGGTTTCGTTGCGAAAGCACAATGGCCAACTGAATCAACAAACTCTTGCCGGACCTAACTCAGGGCTCCGGGGTGTTTTCGTGCGGACAAAATGGCCAACGGTGAGGCGAAACCGATGGAGGGTCACTGAATCAAACCCTTGCCCAGACACCAGCAGGCTCCGGGGTTTCGTGCGACACAATGGCCAAAGGTGAGGCGAACGCTGGAAGGTCACTGAATCAACACCTTGCCCAGACACCAGCAGGCTCCGGGGTTTCGTGCGACACAATGGCCAAAGGTGAGGCGAACGATGGAAGGTCACTGAATCAACACCTTGCCCAGGCACCAGCAGGCTCCGGGGTTTCGTGCGACACAATGGCCAAAGGTGAGGCGAACGATGGAAGGTCACTGAATCAACACCTTGCCCAGACACCAGCAGGCTCCGGGGTTTCGTGCGACACAATGGCCAAAGGTGAGGCGAACGATGGAAGGTCACTGAATCAACACCTTGCCCAGACACCAGCAGGCTCCGGGGTTTCGTGCGACACAATGGCCAAAGGTGAGGCGAACGATGGAAGGTCACTGAATCAACACCTTGCCCAGACACCAGCAGGCTCCGGGGTTTCGTGCGACACAATGGCCAAAGGTGAGGCGAACGATGGAAGGTCACTGAATCAACACCTTGCCCAGACACCAGCAGGCTCCGGGGTTTCGTGCGACACAATGGCCAAAGGTGAGGCGAACGATGGAAGGTCACTGAATCAACACCTTGCCCAGACACCAGCAGGCTCCGGGGTTTCGTGCGACACGATGGCCAAAGGTGAGGCGAACGATGGAAGGTCACTGAATCAACACCTTGCCCAGACACCAGCAGGCTCCGGGGTTTCGTGCGACACAATGGCCAAAGGTGAGGCGAACGATGGAAGGTCACTGAATCAACACCTTGCCCAGACACCAGCAGGCTCCGGGGTTTCGTGCGACACAATGGCCAAAGGTGAGGCGAACGATGGAAGGTCACTGAATCAACACCTTGCCCAGACACCAGCAGGCTCCGGGGTTTCGTGCGACGGCGAACGATGGAAGGTCACTGAATCAACACCTTGCCCAGACACCAGCAGGCTCCGGGGTTTCGTGCGACACAATGGCCAAAGGTGAGGCGAACGCTGGAAGGTCACTGAATCAACACCTTGCCCAGACACCAGCAGGCTCCGGGGTTTCGTGCGACACAATGGCCAAAGGTGAGGCGAACGATGGAAGGTCACTGAATCAACACCTTGCCCAGGCACCAGCAGGCTCCGGGGTTTCGTGCGACACAATGGCCAAAGGTGAGGCGAACGATGGAAGGTCACTGAATCAACACCTTGCCCAGACACCAGCAGGCTCCGGGGTTTCGTGCGACACAATGGCCAAAGGTGAGGCGAACGATGGAAGGTCACTGAATCAACACCTTGCCCAGACACCAGCAGGCTCCGGGGTTTCGTGCGACACAATGGCCAAAGGTGAGGCGAACGATGGAAGGTCACTGAATCAACACCTTGCCCAGACACCAGCAGGCTCCGGGGTTTCGTGCGACACAATGGCCAAAGGTGAGGCGAACGATGGAAGGTCACTGAATCAACACCTTGCCCAGACACCAGCAGGCTCCGGGGTTTCGTGCGACACAATGGCCAAAGGTGAGGCGAACGATGGAAGGTCACTGAATCAACACCTTGCCCAGACACCAGCAGGCTCCGGGGTTTCGTGCGACACAATGGCCAAAGGTGAGGCGAACGATGGAAGGTCACTGAATCAACACCTTGCCCAGCAAGGATGGAAGGAGGGTTTCGTACAAACAATGGCGAAGACTGAAGAGGAACCCCTTCGGAAAAAATGTTGTAGCCCTGGCAGCTGAACCTGAATCCGGAACCGATACATCCCTGTACATCTCCTGCACAACATTGAAGAAGACCTACGACTAACCTGTTGTCAGTATTCAGTTCAGATTGGGGTGTTGCCGGGGGTGGGGGGTGGCGGCGCTGATGCTGAGGCTCGGGCGAACCGAAGGCGGAAGGCCCAGGCTCTGGCAGAAAAATCCCTGCTCTCAACTTCCTAAACATCCGCACGGATGATCACGGATGCAACTGCATCGGAGCGGGGCGAGTACGAGGAACTCGCAGCTCGGTAACGACAGAAGAAAGAGAAACCGAGAACCCAAACCGAGCCCAAGATTTCGCCAGGCCACGGGCTTGCACTCTTCCCAATACGCGTTGATTGCTGCCTTCTTGTACTTACCTGCACAGCTCACAGCCTGA